TATTTTATTATTTGCAGTCAAGGCAACGATGATAAACTCTCCTAGCCGACATTACTACGAGAATGAAAACTCCTGAGTGCAGCCGTCAGACTGCAGAATCGTACTTTCCTTTGTTGATGTCCCGTTATCACAGGGCACTTGTGGTCTTCCATCAAGCTTTGCGAAAGCTTTCATGAACTTTTTGTCTCACCATCACTTGTCTGACACACTGTAATTGAAAAAGGCCACTTGAAAGATCGCATCATTGAGATCTCTTCCTTGGGGACCCATCCACTGGGGAGACAAGTCTGCAAACGGTCTCTAGTCACTTCTATGTTACTGCGTTTGTTTGCTGCAGTACTCGCTCCATGAACTGAAAATTCAGTTTTGCACCCTCTTTCAACAATCTAATCAATCATGTCGTGAAATAGGGCGGTAGGCAGATATTATTGGGTGTGGGTGGTCTTCCTTGAATGCCCGTTTGTGTATGCGGGGGAGGAGGGGAGACCTTCCCTGGGTGGACATCCGGCTAGTGGCCTGGATGACGGAACTTCTTCCCTGAATCCCATGGCAAGCGGCAAAAGTCACGCGGCGGCACTGGGAATTCAAACCTTCCCCTTCAAAGCGCGCGATTGCGCGCGATCGGGTGCAGGGAACGCGACGCCGTTTTCGGGGAGGAGATAGCGGACCTCTAATAGCCCTTGTAATGCATAGACACCTGGCCTTGATATCTGTGCCTTTTTTGGAGGTAGAGCGAAATCATCAAACACCTGTAGAGCCGCACTCGTCTCCTATAATTCCGAATATGATTTTCAGTTACGACGTCTCCTCCCATCATCCTGTCATGACGTTCAAGAGTGCCCTGAAACTGTCGACGGTAAAGCTGTAGTACTGGAAGGTGGGGATGTATTTTTCACTGGAAACGAAATCTTCGTCGGTGTTCGGAAACAAGGGACAAACTTCGAGGGTGCCAAGGTGAGTTCCCATCTAGAATCGGGTTTATACCTTTAAAAATCATTAATTCAATGGTGATCAATTTGATTTTACATAATAAATAATAATGAACCAATTAGTTAATCTCTCAAAATGGATCTTCAGGCAGTTGCACGGGTTTTTTGTGATCATGCTGTGATACCCATACATATGTCGGACAAAGCCCAGTGCCTCAGGCATTACGTGGCTGTCGCCGCACCTGGTATACTTGCAATTGGTACTAGTAAAGAAGCTCAAAATATTTTGAAGGTGAGCTTTTCTTGCTCCCGAACCTTCATATAAAAGACGTTATTGTTACAGGTTCTTGAAGCAGAAGCCATGTTGCGATATAGGATTATATCAATCGAAGATGATGAAGGAGTTAATTGTATACTAGTAAATAAGCGGCTGATATTTCAACGGAATAAAACGGCAGCGGTACGTGGCTTTTCATGAGCTGTGCTACAATAGTGATGCATTTCGTGTTTACAGAAATTTACCCCATTACAATCCAACGGCCTTGAGCTATGGACGGTGGATGCTGGAGATCTTCTTAAGGTATATTGGAAGCTTTTTCTGTCGGATTAGTTATCTAAAATAGTGAAAGACGATCTGTCCGCAACACACTGCATGAAAGCGGTTGAGCGGTCGTGCAGCCCGTGCGGTTCAGAGTTCTCAGCTCAAAAATAGTGCCAAAACCCAGTGGGTGTTGAGATGAAGATAAAAATCGCTGTTGAGATGAAAGTTTCTTCTAGAAACAAGAAAAGCTGGGAACAGGAGTGCAGCAGACACATTAGTTCTTTAGGATCCACCCCCGGCGCTATTTCGATAAGGCAGTTTGGCGCATCCATCAGTGGGCGTTTCTGGTGAAGGTAGGCGGTCAAGACTCGTTTTCGCGAGAAGGCCGCAGAAAGTCTTTTTTAGAACCCAAGTTTTGTTCGAGCGGATAACCTACCCTCTCCTCATCCCTGATAGTACCTTTATTCTGATCGCCTATTTCTCCTTCAATTAAAACAATGTTTTTTAGGCCGGTACACCGTTAGCACGCCACTGTTTCCTTGTCGTGGAAAAGAAGTCGTCAAGAGATACTCATTCTTGATAACAAAAATTATTAAACATCCCCTCAATCGAATGGAGCGTAGAAGAAAAGCATACTCAAGGGACAGTCTACTTCGTTGAGTGTACGGACTCCACAAACTTTTCCCGGTCCATCTTTTTCAAATTAATGTTGTTTGCTTCTAGCTTTTTTTAACTACTGCAAACTGCCAAATGTAACCACCTTAACTAAGCTAACAGGTAATATCCAAGGTTAGCGTGAATTTTGAGAATTGGGTACGTTTACATAGAACACAGGGTGGTCCTAGATATGTATTGAGGTGGAAGTAGAATACACTTAGCAGCAGCAGCAGCAGTTTTTCCCTTGTGTATGAATTTCACCCTCCAAATGTTCAAAAAGAGTTCTTTGTAGGACTTTTTGCAGCTGTTTTCAAAGGTTTAGGTTGTGCTGGGTTCCGCCCCCGGGATAGCCCCTCCCAGACAATCCATCAATGGGGACGTCATTTAATAGGAAGCATGATTTCCAGCTGCCTTCAGGGTCCGTCATTGAGCTTAAATTAAAAGGTCTCATAGCTAGTCGTAATTGGCTACTCACCAGTTTAGGGTTCTCCTTCTCCCACTAGATTAGTTTACCTTCAAATTAGAGTTTCCAACAGGCGATCTGGGCAAATATGTATGACCATACATATCCTGGCGTTGACATTCTGGGCTCTGGGCTAATGTTGAAACACCTGTTATGCTCTACTTCATGTCTGAACTTAAAATGCGTTTTCTATCTCAATGTCACTCTTTACGTGCCTATTCCATCTAATTGTAAGAACCATGATTACACTAAAAAAAGGATACGCTAAGAGAAAATCGTGCCGAGTCGTGCCATGATGTGCTTAAGACTCGTGCCACGTGCACCGGTCATGTAATCACAACTTGTAATATTACTAGATACGTCTTAATAAATATTATCTCGTGCGCAATTACGCCTCACATCATAACAGTACAAAATGTTTGCATTATAGCCTTACTAATATTATGAACAAACAACATATAAATGGGGGAAGAAAGTGAACAAAACGAACAACTCCAAATCGCCCAAGCGACAAATGCGAGGCATTGAAAAAAACGTGAACGAAATATAGTAAACCATGTCCTAAGTTATCAGACACGGCTACATGTGGAACGAATTTAATGAGATGAACACCTGTATAGTACTGTATAAATAAATAGACAGCTTGGAGCTCAGAGAAATAGGAGAACACTAGAAGAATTACACATCGCATTTTCTTAAGCCTAGGATACTGACGGCTGATTAACTTGTGGACTCCAAGCCGGATCTCCAGCGGCCATCATCGTTCCTCGGTCCGCCTGAAAGAGTTCTATTGAGGAAGGATAGTATTACAGAGGCATTAAATGTAATTTGGGCCAAAAGTCAAGAAGAAGTATCCAGAAAGTCGAGACTTACTTTCTTGCCCAATGCCATGAAACCGTAAATCGTTCCACAAGCGAAGATCATGCCCGAACCAAGAAAAGTGTTGAGCTCGAAACACATTATAATGGGGATGATACCCATACTGAAAAGTGCTAAAACTCAACCAAAAACAGCGAAACAACTGAGGTGAACTTACAATTACTGCGCTGAGGAAGCAAACTTTCATGAAACAACACCACAGCAAACTTACATGTATTGACTATGTTTCCATGGGCATTATTATGAAAATCAAAAATTCTATCAATAGCAATGACTCACGTTCCGTAAAGAGCAGCTTTGTGCCAGTGCTTTCGTGATTCGCTGAATTGTGCAATCTTCTCGATGAAATCTACGAACATACAACAGAAGGGAGCTTCTAATGCAATCGTTAGGAATCCGAATACCCTGTAAATTAAAGTAAAACGACTTATAAACATTAATTCGGTAATTAAACCAAGACGACCTTCCCCTTTCTATAAAACTACTTACATTTGCAGTAATACAGCTATAACACAGGTAGCAGTCAGAGAGAGCAAACCGAGGGCTCCAAAAAAGATTGAGACAAAACCACCAACAATTCCAACTCCTTTAGCCAGAAAACGTACCCACCTGGAATTGACGTAATTCAAGTAGAAGGTAAACATAAAATGAATTTTCTAAAACCATGTTTTACAACGGGTACATTGCACTGTAGAGACATTAGAGTGAAAATAAAGTAAACAGGGCACATTACCAGTAAAATCCCACTAGATCAAACAGAACCTGACGACTATAACTTGTAGGTTTTCTCGGCCCATAAAAACTTTGGCTATGAAAACTAGCTGATAAACAAAATTACTACCACAATAGGAAGCACTTTGGCGCATTCTACAAATGTATTACGTGGCAACCTAGAAATAGCGTATTCTTCTAGGGATTCCGAACATTTACCCTGAAAGGTAACAGTCTGGCCTACAAAATGATTTATATTTATAGACTGGCTACCTAAGTATAATATGATCCATATGTAACTGGACATATTTTTGCGAAAAAGGTAATTATACTCGCCCAAAATATACGCCATCACTTAGTGCCAACATAATACATATAATGATAAGCACTGTTTAAGCTTCTTCCTGCTGCCCCCTTCATACCATATGTTCCGAACACTTGAACCGGTGATTCGACAAAGAAAAGGTCTGTGTCGGTGGCAAACTTGAAGCAACAATGAAAATCCAAGTGTTCGAAAGTATCACGCAAGGAATGAGGTCCCAGAAAAAAAACGATCTGGATTCATAAATACCATATAAATCAAAAAGTTTGGTGGATGGTTGCAAACAATTTTCTTCCCTTAGGTCAGATACTACCAAAAACATTTTTTGGTAGTATCTGACAACAACTAGCATGACTCTCTCGTCAAAATTCATGCCAACATATTGATTGTAGCGAGCTATCAAGTGGTCCTGTGCTGTCAACGATAAACCGAAAACCTTCTGGAAAGGAGATACGCCCCCTTTTGAAGAAAGACTCAGCATCAATAGATGGCTCCTTACACAAGCACATCATTCATGAATTTTTAAAACAAAGAAAATCCTCTCAGAAGAGGTTGAAACTAGCTCACATTTAGAGAAAAAACGTTGTAACCCAACTCCCTAGGGTGTGAGCTCTGAGAACTAATTGAAAATACCCTTTAAAAGGAAGCGGGAAAAGCGGGAGAAGAGAAAAAATTTCATGTCAATCCGCATCTGTTCCATTGAGTACCAAAAAATAGGAACCATAACATAACAAATTACAGGTTCTTGGTACTGAAAATAAAAATCCCCCTTAACACCTAATTATATACATGTTGAAAAGAGATTTTATTAAAGGGTTGGGAAAGTGGAATTCCACAGCAAATTCCACGTTCGGTCTTCTTGAAACCTGGGCATGTTGCATAATGTTTTGCAGTGCTTGGCCGTACAGTTAGCGGTTTCTACCATAACAAACCTGTACGACTAAGCACTGCAAAACAGAATTTCACAGCGTTGAAAACATTAGGAAACGAACTGTTTGATTTCGTTGTTGGGCATATTACATTACGCACTTATTTAGTTGATAATTACGCCTTATTTACTACTTATGGAGCATTTTCACTATCTGCTGAATTCTCAAGTCATTACAGTATTTCATGATATCATATGGGAATGTTTTTGGGCGATAATATGCAGCAACATTGGGAACAATGCACGTTTATGGGCCACAGAAGATTGAAAACTGAAAGGGCAGCGAAAGAAACGTTGCTTGTGTAATTCTTGGCTTAAAATTTGCTAACAGCCTTGAAAGCTCTTGATAGAAGCTTTCCAAAGGTTTCAAGCGCTCTTTTAAAAACCAATATCTCAGCAAATTGGCGGGAGTGCAAACACTTGCGGGGCTTCCCTGCTAGGAAAATAAGGTTCACTCTCAATTTGCAGACCTCATGCAGTCTATTTATTGATTGTAAAACCGCAGAACTACAAGAGATTTGATAGACTGGAGGCACGCCCTTTACTAAGCCGTTACAGCAGTCACATGAATAAACAACAGTTAACTAGTATTTCGCCCGGAATTGGACCATATCAACGAAAAGGATTCTTAAAAGCGCTAGGCTCAGCCAAAACGTTAATAAAGAAAAAAAAATCGTTGTAAAAACAAATGAAATCAATCACAAAGTACATATTCAGAAACGAAACCAACCAAGGAAAATTGGCATTTGGGTCATGTTCCGCTTGCATTTGCGTTGAAACGCCTGATGCTGCTGCCCCCATGGTTTTTCTGGAAAAGCTAGCTTAAGTAAATATTAATAAAGACATTTATGACGCATATAGCGACAAGAAAGTATTGGTCGAACGAAACGACGAAAAAAAAACTCGAACTGAAAAGAAAGCGCCGGTATATTGCTTATGTAGCTAATGAACACCTCACAAAAATGGCGCGCATGCCTGTGACGTGAGTTGAATCGATCGATATCGGGCTGCCGCATAGGGCTATCTCCATCTGATAAAGCCCCCTATTGACACCAAAAGACACCCGACGTTGTCAGACGACAACGAAAAAACACGAGAACAAAATACAACCATAGAGAATGAAGTAAGAAGGGATTTAGTCTGCTCGAAGTAATACCGGCTACTTATGGCCGAATGTGGAAACACAAAACACATATAAGCCGAGTGGTTAATGAGTCCGTATTAGGTCCTAAACTGGATGCTATCTACTAGAGTGGATTTACGAGAGGGATGCAAGAGAAAGAGCCGTCCAGCCATTCGATCATTCCGCTGTTAGCTGAGTATTAGCGCTGCACTGGTTCCTGATTAAATAAACAAAAACGATGAGGAAACTGAATGAACGTCAGACGCCCGTCGACAGTAATTAACAGAGGCCGAAGATCCAAGTAGGTCAAACATTATGATGATCTAAAGCTCTCAATGGAGTAAAAAATATCAAAAATAAGCATTAATCAAAAAGTTGAATCGGGGATGGAATGTCGTTCTTCTATGTGGGGAATGCGAGAAGTGATTTCCCTTTGATGGATGACCTCAGAAAAAGCCGAAACCATTTGAAAAGGGGGTGGAAGAAAAGTCATCAAAAAGGTCAGAAACTAGTTTCTGGACGTTATTCGAGTAAAGCATTAAATAGTAAGTAATGGTGAACTAGTAAAGGCATGCATCTGTTGTTATAGTATCGTAT